CAGGGAGCCCGATGCGGGACTCGATCCAGGGACTCCAGGACCATGACCTGAGCCGAAGGCAGTCGCTTAACCAACTGAGCCACCCAGGCGCCCCCCAGATTTATTTTTAAACTATAGCATTTGCCTTAAAACAGCGAATTATCCTTTACATTTCAGATTATCTAGAATACAAATTATTCATAATTTTTAAACAAAGAATAGATGCCTGGAATCTAGCTAAGTACTTTGCATATGTTTTTCCAACAACGGTTTTATCCACCCAGACTATTATAAAAGAGGAACTTGAGGCCCAGAGAAGTTGAGGCTCTCCTAAGACAGCTCAGCAAGTAGGATGGAAAACAGGCATTTGATTCCAGAATATCACAACTCATGACGACCCTATGTTGCCTCCTTAAACAAAATGCTGGCAACAGTTTTGAAAACTGAAACACCAATGGCCTGAATTCAGACTAGAAACTTTACTCTAAAAATAGCTACTAGGCTGAAAATAAGTATTTATCTGTACAACTCTCCATTATAAAATAGTTAGAATATTTGTATTAATTTTATGAAGCATTTTTATAATTAGGTCTTCAAAGAGAACTAAGATTAGGGTTTCATGGAAAACATGAAAACTCTATTGCAGAGAGAGACACTGATTTCTCGTAAGACTCATGAGACAGAATTGTCCTTTTGCTGAGAGTGAGGCCTCTGATTTAATGAAGAGCGTTTGGGCACATTTTCCCCATTATGCCAAACAGCGGATAGGTGCTTATCTCTGAGGTTTTGCTCTTTCTAGAGACTTCTGTGTCTGGACATAGTGGAGAAACACTTGGTATTTCCTCCTACATGGTCAAAATAGTCCTGTTAAGGTAGATAATCCTCAATTTCTCTTTCCAAAACTTGAACCTCACCTATTATATCATTTTATTTATATGTGGAGAAAACTGACCTGTGAAGAAACTCTGACTTGTCCATGTGTGGCTGGCAAATTCCATCAGGGTCAATGAACCTTTCCGGGGAGTATCTAACTATTGGAAGAAAAATAAAATGAGGGATGAGTTTTATTGTTTCAGACATTTTTAAAAATCATATTTAGGGTTAACAGGCAACCCACCCGAAACGCATGGGTCGTGCTGGGTCTTGAGAAGTGTTCTATGGTCAGAGATCTTTCTCGAAGAGGTGATCGCTCTGAACTGTCAGGAATCGCACTTAGCACGCGGTTTTGTGGTTGCCTCCCTCTGTACTGAATAAAGGATAGTATGTTCTGGTTTAAGGCAAATGCAATCCTTAAAAAAGGCAAAAGAAGATCTCTATGTGCTCATTCACTTGTTAATTCAAAACTTTTATTTATATACTGTGAAGTATAAGGTCCATCACGCATGAATATCAATATACATTTTAATTATGTAATTTTATTATGTAACCTGATTAAATGGTAGTGACCTCAGAAATAAACATGGATTCAAAAACTTAACCACCTAAAATTCTTACTGTTAAATTATAATAGCCATGTAATTTTGCATTTGTGAAGCATCAGACTTTTTTTTTTTAATGTGATGTTTGCCTTCTTTTATGACTTTAAGCCACATGCTAAGGTTACACATCAACCCTTTGCACCTCCTGCCTCTCTAGGAATGGGTTCTATTGCAGTACTCGAGGAGGCAAAGGAATGCAAGAGAAAACGTTTCTGTTGTGTTTTCTCTTTAGTCCTTTATGCTCGCAAAACTGGGGTCCTTCTATGTTTTGCGAAACAGAGACAGGTTACTTGTATGGGAGTGAAGTGAGGAGTCATCGTACATCTGGGGGGAAATGTGCTTATGCAGACTAGGGACCCCAGACCTGCCCAGACCATTTGCCATCGTGTGGCCGCGTTGAGCATGGGTGCAGGTGTGAGAACGAGGGCTGATAAAAATGTCACAGGTGTTTTCCTGAGGTCTTACTTTATGGAGGCATAATCTACCATCTATAAATTCATTTCACCCTTATAACAATTCTTTGAGGAAGGAATCACTTTGACCCTTTTACGGGTGAGAAAATTAAGGTGCAGGGAGAATATGTCTACAAGTCATACAGAGTTTACCTGGCAGGGTTCAAACACAGATCTCCCTGTCCCCTGGCCTGACCTTCATGCTCTTTAGTTCCCTCTACCATCCTATCAGATGTTCCTTGACACCTGAACTTTCTGACTTAGTTCAAATCATGTTTGTATTTCACAAAACAGTGAATTAACCCTCCCACCTCCTGTCCCTTGTCGCAAGCCAGTTACTTTCAGGAAGCAGATTATGAGACATTTGATGGCACTGAGTTCATTGGGAAGGGCCAACATTACATTCTGCTTGTTTGTCTGTTTCCCAAGAGACAATCTAAATGGTGCACTTAAACAGAATGAAATCTGTCTTACAGAAACAGGTCGAGATCCAGGAACTGCCATATTCTGCTCACCGGTCTCTGAGCCTATTGGGGGTAACCTGTTCCGGGAGGCTTGAACCGGTGGGGAGGACACACACTCCATGCCAGTTTGCCTGTAAACAAAACAACATTGGGCTGAGCAGCTAGCTGCAGACAGAGGGGGCCAGACCCCACCCGAAGCTCCCCATCTGAACTACTAATCACAACTGCCTTCCAAAAAGAAATGCTCATGTAGAATGAGAAGTGTCAGCAAGACCAATGTGGAGAGGGACTGACCACGAGCTCCAGTCACCTCCTCCTTGGTCAGCAGTGATGTCAACCTGTATTTACTGAGTGCTCGGCTGTGCCAGGCCCTTGCAGGTTCCTGAAAACATGATCATCCAGATGGAAATCAATAAGGAATCCAAGGTTTTGAATGATACACAAGAATAGAGATGGATTGTCTAGGATAAATTCTAATTCATTTATTCACTAATAATAAAGTTATGAAAGCTAAAATATGACCCTTTTGACCTGTGATGTTTTAAAATACATATACTACCCATAGTTTAGAGGCTGCAAGGAAAGATCCTTGTGTCCTGCCAGTGGGATTATAAACTGTGAGAACCATTCTGGGAAGAGCTTTGGAAAAATATTTCAAGAGTCTTAAAAATATCCATAACCTTTGACCTGGTAGCTTTACTTCTAGGACTGTACCACCAGGACACAATTTGAAGTCTTCCTTATCAAGATTTATATAAAATGATATTGTATACCTGAAAGTAATACTACACTGTATGTTAACTAACTGGAACTTAATAAAAAGTTAAAAAAATGATTTATATAAAAATGATGTTCAGGGACTCCTGGGTGGCTCATCAGTCAGCTAAGCGTCTGCCTTCGGCACAGGTCATTTTCCCGGGGTCCTGGGATCGAGTCCCTCATCGGGCTCCTTACTCAGTGGGGAGTCTGCTTCTTCCTCTGCCACCCCCTCCCCTGGCTCATGGTCTCTCTCTCTGACAAATAAATAAATAAAATCTTTTAAAAAATGATGCTCACTATACATCATAATAGTGAAAATATAGAAGGAATGAAAAGTTTCCATAATGGAAATACTTAATAGATTATCACATACCCACATGTTATTTTCTAGTCATTAAAATCATGCTTTCTGAAATATTTAACAACATGGAAAATATGAATTAAGTGAAAAAATCATATGAAAAAGTGCTACAATAGTAGGATAATGTAGTCTTAGAAAAAAGATAAGGGAAAGAGGAGAAAAGAAGAAACATAACCACAGACAAAATTGGTAGTCATCTTACCAAGTTATCATTTTTGTATTTCTATGTGTTGGGCATACAGGGGATCTTTGATACCTACTTATATTTTTGGTATTGTTCTAATGTTCCACAGAGAACTTGTTGTACTTTGATAGTTTAAAAAAAAAAGGGTTTTTTAATAAAAGTGAAAGACAGAGCACGAACAAAATCACGGAAGTCAGAACACACATAGCTGGTCTGTTTGTGGGTCAGAGAGATGATAAGGCTGCCCCCAGTCAAGATGGGTGAGGAGAAGTAATGGGAAGATATAGGAATGCAGAGTCAAGGATGGTGACATTGCCCCCAACAGGCAAACATGAATTGTTGGTAGGACCAAAAAAAAACCAAACCTTGTTCTTTTTATGCATAAAACACAGATATAAAGAATAGTACATAGACTGTACAGTATATTTGTGGCATTAAAATTCCACAGGTGGGGGAGGAATTAGGAAAAAGAGTCTAAAAGGGCTCCTTAGTATGGCAGTAATAACAAAAAAGTTGAAAAACACGGGTCTACAGATAAGAAGGGGCCAGAGCATGAAGGGAATGGACAGCTGGAGGCATCTGACTTACTTCAATAGAAAACAGAAAAGGTTTGGGATGAAAGCCTGACGGTGGAGCCCAGGTGGGCTGGGAGGAGGAAGAGAGGGCCAGTGAGGGGCTTGTGACACTGGCAGGGGGGAGGTGTCCCTGGTGGTCCCCAGTGAGAACGGAGGAGGGGGAGAGCTCCTGGAAGAACTGCCAGGCAAATAGCCCTGGATAACCGGAATACCCCAAATAACGCTGGAAATACCGGTTCCAGACTGTGAAAGAAATAGTGACCCATCAAAAAACCAATCGTGGCTTGGCACTGTGGAATGCATCCTGAAAAAGCCAGGGGCTGGTTAAGCCCTGGCAGCTGATTTGCCTCCCACCCCTGCAGGCGGGGGGAGCCTAAGGCAACCCCTTAAACACTGGCTCCCTTGAGGCAGGAGGCGGGTGGCCCCAGGAGCCCCGGGGGCGTGGTCTCCAAAGCTCCACAGCACTGTGCAGAGTCCCAGCTCTGCCTCTCTCTCCCTCATGGGATCATCTCAGGCAAGTTATGCAACTTCTCTCAGCCTCTGTCTCTTCACCTTGGATCTGGGATACTACGAAGACCAACGCAAAAGATTTGTGGCAGGGAATAAATAATAAATGTGACTCCTTTAGCTGGTGCTGGTGACAGAATGCACCCAATAAACACTGGCCCTTATGAGTGAGAAAGCTGGATTGCTCCTTCCTAATTCTGCAGTGAAGGAGGGGACAGATTCCTTTCTAACAAGGCAATGATTTGAAGTTGATCCCTAAGGTCAAAACTTCTCTGAAACTCCCCACGTGCAGCGAAACATAGCCTTAGAGATAAATAAAAACTAATAGTTATGCTACTTCTGAAACCAACATCACACTGTGTTAACTAACTAGAATTTAAATAAAAATTTGAAACAAACAAAAAGCTAATAGTTATATATGTCCCTTTTATTTGTGTAGCATTTTATGCACATTAATTTTTTGAACCTCATAATGAGAAAGAATTAATTATGTAATTTGAAAGCATTAGCTAACTGTTAGTTTTACAGATGAGGCCACTGATTTCCCATCCAAGATCACCTCACCATTACAGGCGCATTTTATTGTACGGCTCTGGGTACATTACCTGACATTATATTCTAGTATACAGCGAACTTGACTACGCAACACAACTCATGTGAAATACTCAAATTCATGAACTACTTGGAAAGTGGCCACATAAAATTTGAGAGAGGATGCTTCGTGCATATGAATCCATAAGCCCTAACTGGCAAGCGTCTCCGTCCTCTGTGACATCTGGTCTACCAGGAGAGAGACAGGACTTACAGTTTTGTTCCCCTAAGAACTTCATCATTGTACACATTGGGGGTTTTCATCCTCTGTGAGTCTGAAGTAAGAGAAGGCAGCCTCGTGTACGCAGGTGTTTTCCTTTCAGAAGTGTGGAGTATGCGAGCATCGGAGGAGGTTCGTCCCAGGCGGTGCCGTGCCAAAGAAAGGGCACTGGGCCCTGCACCCAATGATCTGTCCTCTTGCTCATTCCTGGGGGATGGATGGAAGTCAAGCTGATGACTCAGATGTCAGCCTCAGGACAACAGGGCACATATACATGTGTCCATTACTAGGTATTGTCTAGAACAGTGCCTGGCTCAAGAAGATACTCCTAAATATTGGTTGAATGAATGGACAGGCTATCATTTCCAATTCAATTTCTATTTCAATGAAGAATCTTCCACAGGGGGGAAAAAAATCTAAGGTTTTCACTGATTGTAATCCTACAGTATAGCCCACAAGATTAAGAATTCACAGCTCTCTTCCCCTTATCTATCTGCCCTAACCTAACGGTGATCATTTTGTGGTTGATGTTAGAATAGTGTGTCTTCATTGTCATGTGTGGCTGTCTCCTTCCCCGAATGGGCTCAGGCACACCTAGCGCATATGGGGTTAAACAGGATGCTCCTTATCCCACATCCTCTGCAGTCTTCAGTGCTCAAGGGTATCCAGCATACAGAAGACGCAGGGTAATTATTTCTTATACGTACTGTATTCTATCTGAGAAATAGGTAGGTCTCTGCTGCAGTGGCTTTGCTTGAATTGTCATCACACCACTCAAATCACTATAAAAATTGTTGGAGAAGCGATGAATCTGAGAAAAGTAAAAACAATACAAATTAAAAAGCACCCAGTGCTATTGTGATTACCGGTGTCTCTCAGGAATCAGCGGGGAAAAAAATGGCACACTCCAACCAGCTAATTTGAGGAAAAAATGTAACACGGATGATATGTTACAAAGATGTGGGAAGAGAAATCAACAAGGACTGGCTTAATTCCCCCAGGCAATATAACAACGTAACAGCAGGGCGCATTACCATATGCAGGCCTGGAGCGGCAAATAATGCGGGAGAGATTTCTGGAATCTGGACAGGGTAGCTGCTTGGTGGAAATGCCAACAGTGCCACAGTTAGTGGTGGAATGTGGAATGTGGCAGAGAGGCCAGAAGTAAACAACGTCCTGCCATTCTCCCCGCCTTGCTCTGAGCTCCTAGAGCTGCAGGACAAGGGAGCCCTCCATACCATTAGTGTGTGCCAGCCTCCAGAGCACACCAGGGGGAGGACGGTTGAGAGAGAATCTGGAGAAGCAAAGAAAGAGTACCCCAGCTCCTAACTGAGCTGTTGCCTCAGACCTCTTCTCCTACCCTATCCTTCACAGCTGGCCCCAGCTAGCTGCCCTGAGAGTGGCACAACAGCCTGGGAAAAAAACCCAAACACCAGATCTCGAAGGCTTACATTTGAATCCCAGTTCCCACAGCTCCCTGGTAGGTGGTCTTGGAAAGACTACTTTGTTCTTGGAGTCTTAATTCCCTAATCTTTAAGTTGAGGATAATGACACATACTTCATATGAGAAATAAATTAGATCACAGTGGTGGAAGCATGAAGTGAGGGTAAATAATCATGAATTCCCTATCTGGTCCCATGATATGGCCAACTAGGATAGAAAACAACATTTAGATTCAGGGAAACAGGATTTCTGAAACTAGAACCATATTCTAGTTGGAGAATAGATGTAGAAGCCACAGTCACATTTTCCCCATGTTGAACATTAAAAAGAAATGTTACAGGAATTAATTAAGACCGGTTGTAATTACCAGTAGGACGCTTTATTTCAAAATAAGCTCTAATAATACTTCATTTTTACTTTCAACTTTGTTGTCCATTCATTTTCTTTTAACACTGATCCAAATGAAAACAACAAATTAGCTGTAAAAAACATTTTGAAAACCCATTGGAAGCTATAAAAAGAAAATACTTGTAAAAAACCCTTCAGACTTAAAAATTTCCATATTTCTCAAGTTTACTTATATTGTCTAATACTTAAGGATTCTTTTCCATGTTGTCATCAGCTGCCCATTTTTATGGGATTCGTACCGCATATTTGAAAATGCAAAGTGGGGAACACTGTTGAACCTGCCTGAGCAGTTTAAAAAGATCAAAAAATACAATAAACGGTAGCAGTTCTGAAAGTTTATTTTGAACAGCAAAAGCAAAGAAGGCTTACTGTAAAACACTAACACTACAGAGTAAAACAATCCTATTAGACATTTCTATTTTCAACTTCTGCCCCCAGGACCATACACACTATTCTGTGTCCTTGCAACCTTGTGAAGATTGTCCGTTCACTTGCTCCTTTGCGGGGAGCATATTTCCGCCTCTGCCTCGAGGCAGCCTTACTAAATGTTACCTACCATTTAGGATTTGGTTCACGTATCACTCTACTTTATGGAAGTATGCCACATTCCCCCTGAACTCTGTGGCATTTATGAACTAAAGGACATCAAATTACAATATAGGATAGGATAGGATAGCATACGGTGGGATAGAGCATACGATTCATGTCTGGTTATAACGAAAACTAATGCTTATTGAGTGCCTTCTCTACACTACGTATTGCACTATGTGTCTTATTTTGTTTACCTCTCACAGCGCCCTGATTCACAGATCCCACAGATAACGAGACGAAGGCTTTGAGGGACCGATTCAGGATCACAGAGTCGGACCCTGTACTTGGAGTCCTACAGCGCAAGCTCTCACCCGCTCGACCATCTCCCCACTGCCTCACGTTGCGTGCGTGCACCTGCATGCACGTGTGTAGTGGTACTTGGCAGGGCTTGACTCCCTCTGGCTAAACTGCACGGACCTCAAGACCAGGAATCCTGACTTTTCCTTTTTCTCTGCTCCCCCACACAAGACGAGCTGTGAGGGACATAGTCTAAGCTCCTTAGCACTACTGAAGGTCTCCCATGAAGAAGCTCAGCCTTGGAGATGGAAAAAATGGCGGAAGAGTAGGGGACCCTATTTCAACCGGTCCCCTGAATTGAGCTGGATATCTACCAGACCATTCTGAACACCCACGAAATCAGCCTGAGATGTAAGAAGATATATTTGGATCTCTACAAACAGAATATATCCCACGATCTCGAGGTATAAAGCGGTGAGCTGTGATTCTGCACGCAGATATCAGAAGATAAACAGAAGGGGAGGGAGCTGCCATAAGCTTGTGCCCGGAAGGGGATACAACACTGGAGCTCAAAAGCCTCCCGCGCTGGGGACAGGGCACAGACTTGAGACAGGTAGTGGCCGGGAAAGGACTTTAGTGCAGCCCCCAGACAGGATCCAGGAGCTGCAGGTGCATTGGCCCGCATGAACCAGGGGTGGCTCATGGTTTTAGAAGCACGAAGGGCAGAGACGGCCTGGGTTCCAGCGCTGGGAGAGTTGCTGAGGGGTGCACAACCAGAGAGGCTGTGGGTCTTAGCAGTGCAGACAGAAACGGAGACAGTGTGGCCTGGAGAGCTCAGTGAAGAGCAGACTGCGATCTCTCTGTTCTTTTTTTTTTTTTTTTT